CCTGTCTCAATGATGCTTGTGAGGATTAAGTATAAATTGCATTTCATACAACATGTGTGTGGAAAGTAAATGCTGCACGAATGGTTGCTACTATTCTGTTTTTCAATAACAATTGGTATTTTAGCTTGTTTCCCCTACCATAGTGATATACAAAGTAGATAGTTGTCTGCTTTGTGAAATGGTTCATCAGGTCTTGTTACAATAACTTTTAACAATTTTCATAAAAATAAAATTGAAGTTGAAATATTCCTAAGCCTGTCTTGTAACAAATCAATCATCATTTTTTCCATGGTTTTCCAAGTCCTTGTATGTATGGGAAAACCATTCTGTGTAGCTTCAGTTGTACTGCACATATGATTGAGTGCTCATTCTGTGTTTTTAATTTGACATTTACATCTTCATTTAACATTTTTTGGACTTTTCCCCATGTCCTTTTAATAGTTGGAGTTTTCTCTTACTGTTTGTTTGTACTTCTAGCAGAAAATGACAAAGAACTTGAGTTCCAGTTGTCACTGTTGATTCTACATATTAGTTCTTGACTGCCTATGGATTTTCTATTAGAAGTGACAAATCTTTGTATAAATTTGATAGGTTGATTTCTGTCACTTATAGTTTTACTTTTTCCTAACTTAACTTAAAAACTTACTATATACCCTGAGAAGATGTTCATTTTCTTTTATTAGGGAAATTTAAATCAAAACAGCAATGACTTACCACCTCACACCTGTGAGAAAGTGTGTGGAGAGAATGGTGCTGTTGTACTTTTGGTGGAAATGTCAATTGGTGCAACCATTATGAAAAGAAGTACGAAGATTTCTCAAAATATTAAAAATAGAAATTCCATGAAATCCACTTATGGGTATTTGCCAGAGTATGCAAAAACATTAATTTGAAGAGTTACATGCACCCCCGTGTTTATCACAGCATTATTTACAATAGCCAAGAGCTGAACAACCTAAGTGCCCAATGACACATGATTATATAAAGAAGATGTTATACAGAGATTCAAATTTCAGAAAAAAATATAAATCCATACAGATATACACATATATGTATATCTGTATGAGCATAATTTCTAAATGTGCTTAGTTTTCAAAATGAAAATGTTAAATCATGATAAAACTTCAAGAATTCCTGCAAAAACAAAAAAATGAAATGCCAAAAATAAATACTTGGAAGCACCAACTAATCCAGTAAATAGAAAAGATTCACTATGTATTTAATTGACTGCTACGTGGGCCAGGAAAGTGTTGCCATAGCTTTCTTTAACCATGAAGAACATAAATAAATATGCTATAAAATTATTCCTCTTCTTTACCCCCTTCCACCTCCAATGAGGTAAAGCATATAAAATTGTAGAGGAAAAAAATAGAGCTAAATGTGCTATTTTCACACACATAGTTATGATATGGAAAATACTCAGAAACATGCCGGCACATACAGAGCAGAATTCATAATAAAGTTGTGAGAAACCTCATTCCTCCATGAGATTTGTACTGGTGGGATGTTTCCTAGAAGAAAGCAGCAGCACCTGCAGTTGTGCCCTGATGCCTGCCTTCAAAGACTGTAGGAATATTTAAATAGTTTGTGTGTGTGTGCGTGTGTGTGTGTGTGTACACACATGTATTTACCAAGAAAGAAAAAGAAAGAGAAATTTGTGGGGAAAAAAAGTTGCTTCTAAGGAGTTAGGTGTACATAATTCTTGTTTGTTTGCTTTATGAATGTGATTGGTTTTCATGTTCAAAACATGTGACTATCGAAGTATCTGTTTGGGGGCAGATTTCTTTACAGCTGCAGCAGAGACTATGCCTATCATTAGCCTAGTCACTCAGTCACTGTCTCCATTTATAGTTGAGTTTGTAAAATGTTCAAAATAGGAACTCTAGGTTTCTGCTGATCTTGAATCATCAGAGAGAAGAAAAACCTTATTCTTTCTTTCAATGCCATCTTTGCAGACATGTTTTAAGACTGATTATGATTGACTAGAAAATTCTGACTTTAATTTTTTTCCAAATTCAAACTTACCTTTTCATGCTCTCTAATGCAGAATATCAGTGTCTTTAAGAATTTTAAGGCCATATAAATGTGTGTGTGTGTATGTGTGTGTGTGTGTGTGTATGTATATATATATCTCCTACTGGGAAAACTTATCTCTTTTGGGGGGTTCTGTTGGAACCACCTCCATTTTTGGGGGTCCTATTGGCACCACCTCCATGTAGAATGAGGCTTCTCTAGCAAGACAATAATATTCAACTTGCTTGGCAACTTTGCCACTTGAAAGACTGGTATAAACACAGGGGAAAAAAATGACTATACAACAGTCACCTATAACTTAGTAGAGAACTAAATCTAGAATTACAAAGTTCCTAGAAACTACAAATAACACAAATAATATGTAAGAGTATCCTAATAAAACATGATGGAACATTGAAACTGGCACAAGGAATTTGTTTATAGAGGCTTCTGTAATAGGCCCAGTTGGGTATAGAGAACTCATTAGGCTTCATTAGTCATTAGGGCACAGAGTACTCTGATCTAGCAGACTCGGAAGTATCATCTCCTCTAGATTAAGAGAGACCAGTGGAGAGCATAGTTATCTGAACCAAGAAAGTGAAGCAGAGGAGAGATCCTAAAGTGGACCAGTGTCCATTCTTGGCCACTGAAAGTGTCATTACCAGGTAGCTGGAAGAAGGTATGTAACTCAAGATTCTTCCCTCAGTGTCTCTCAACAAGGGCACTATTATCATTAGGGTTTTCACACTAATATGTTTTGATACCTACATGATAAGAGCATCTCCTTGTCACTGTAACAATAAAATTATCCCCACTCATTTCCAAACTTCCCTTGCTCGGTGGGTGCTTTCCTCTCCAGTTGAAAACCACTGGAAGTGAAATGTTGAACAAATGTCCCTGGGAATTTTTAATGTTCATCTCTGGATCAGCGTAGGTCACCAGAAAGCTATATATCTGAATCAATAAAGTTCTAGATTTTGCCAGAGTACAGACAGCTACAGCCTCTGCAGCCAGACACTACATTTGAAAAAGGAAAGAGAAAACAGAAAAGGGGTGATTGCTTATGATGCCAGAGCCCTAGTCTTCCCAGAATGTTTGCATACATTTCATTGGCTACGACTGTAATACATAACAATTCACTGCAAAATAGTCTGGGAAACTATTTCAAATAGAAACATCACTACCCTAACAAAATTCAGATGAAAAATTTTAAGTAATGAAGATGGGGAGTGGGCGTAAGGAAAAGCAACATCTCTCTCACATCTGTGAGCAACATCTCTCTGTTGGCTTGGTTTGAGTAAATGACAGAGTAATATAAAGTTTTGCATCTTCTCTTCTTATACAGACTATAATCTACTTGAGAATTAATAAATAGCAAATTTAGGGTACAGTTATTCATTTATTGTAGCAAAAATCTATATCATAGTAACTCAGAACAAAATTAAAACATTGTGCCACTGGCATATTTGCAGATCTCCAAAAAACTAAAGCCTGATGATGAATGTTTGAATTCCTAAACTTTCCTTCAGCTTTATTTCCTATCCTAACCATAATCTCCCGCAGTTGAGCAGTGAGATCTTTTTATTTTTATGTCCTTAGGATATTCTTAGCATAGTATTTGTGAACTGAATAAAAAATACAAAATCAGGAAGATATAAAAGGAAGAGGAGTCTACATTTGAGTTTCCTTTGGTAAATCAATTGTTAACAGGAATCTTTGATCTAAAATTTAGCATCTCTTTGGTTGTGCCAGAGATGGGGTTCAGCACCCCATTTTACTCTTTTTTTGTTACATCTTCCCAGTCCATGAACTTTTTCCTCTAGTGCCTCCTTTTATAATTTGGTGACTGTGTCTTTGTTCTTTGGGTGGTTTGATTGAGTTTACATGTTTAATTTATGTTTTATTTTGTTTGAGCTTTTGGTGTTAGATCAAAAATGTCCCTGCCAGATTCAATGCCATGAAGCTTCCTCCTTTTCCCTGTATTTTCTTCTTAGCTTTCTACAGTTTTAGACTCTTACATTTACAGCTAAAATTATGAGTTGCTTTTTGTATATGGTATAAATTAAGGGTCCAACGTCATTATTTTTTCATCTGGCTATCCAGTTCTCCCAGCACCATTTGTTGAAAAGACTGTTCTTTCCACATCTATGATCTTGGCATCCTCTTTAAAAATCAATGAATCCCAATAAAGTCCAATATGAAACCAAAAAAAAAAAAATGAATCCAGCTTCATTATTTTTCATCTGGATATCCAGTTCTCCCAACACCATTTGTTAAAAAGACTTCCACATCTATGATCTTGGCATCCTCTTTAAAAATCAGTGCATGTGTATGTCAATTTTGTACTCTCTGTTCTATCCCTCTGATGTATATTTCTGTCTTTATACCATTGCCATAATGGTTTGATTATTGTAGCTTTGTGTTAAGTATTGAGATTGACCATGTGGCATCCCCAGTTTTCTTCTTTTTCAAGATTGCTTTGGCTTTTTAGAGTGTATTGAGAGTCTATATGAGTGTTAGGGTGATTTTTTTCTAGTTTCACAAAATAATGCCTTGGGGATTTTTATAGAAATTGCACTAAATCTATATCCCCTTGAAAATAATAAAATCCTTATAATATTGTCTTTTAATCTAACAAAGTGGATTTTTTCCATTTATTTGTGTCTTCTTTAATTTATTTTAGCAATATTTTGTACTTTTAAATGTATAAGTCTCCTATATCTCTGGTTAACTTTATTTCTAAGATTATTTTTCCTTTTTTGATGTTATTATACATGCAATTGTTCCCTTAATTTTCTTGTTGGGTTATTCACTAGTAGTATACAGAAATGCCACTGATTTTTGTATTAGTCTGTGAATTCTTAGAAGCAGAAACCATGCCTTATTTATATTTGGCGGAGTTAATACAACAATATTAATTGGTAGCTATTAATATTCATTTTTGTATTTTTATTTTTATTAATATTTTTTTCTTTCTCCCACTTTAGGGCTCTACCAGTTCAACAGCCTCTCCTCCAGTGTCCACCCCTGTCACAGGACACAAGCGAATGGTCATACCAAACCAACCTCCTCTAACAGCTACCAAAAAGTCTACATTGAAGCCACAGCCTGCACCCCAGGCTGGACCCATCCCTGTGACTCCAATTGGAACACTAAAACCTCAGCCTCAGCCAGTTCCAGCCTCCTACACTACAGCATCCACTCCTTCAAGACCTACCTTTAATGTGCAAGTGAAGTCAGCCCAGCCCAGCTCTCATTACATGGCTGCTCCTTCATCAGGACAGTTTTATGGCCCAGGGCCCCAGGGCTATAATACTCAACCATTTTCTATCCCTGGACAGTGTCCACCTCCTTCAACACGAGGCGGCATGGATTATACATATATTCCACAACCAGGAATTCAGCCTGAACCTGGGTATGGGTATGCCCCCAACCAAGGACGATATTATGAAGCTTATTGCCCAGCAGGTCCTGGCTATGGGGTCAAGAATGATCCTGACCCAGCTTATGGTCAACCAAATCACCCAAATACCTGGAAGCGGGAACAAGGATATACTCCTTCTGGAATAGGGAACCAGAACCCTACCGGAATGTATCCAGTTGGTGGTCCCAAGAAGACTTATATCACAGATCCTGTTTCAGCACCCTGTGCACCACCACCACAACCAAAGGTAAGAAATGTGCTCACATAGGGAATACAGAAGTGCTTATCTTAGCCTTTGTTTCTCAAACTAACAGAGCCTAAGGCAAAAATATATGAGTTACTCTTTCATTTCATAAAGTTCAATCCCAAGGAAGTGTGAGTTTAAGGAGAAAAGGAAGGAGATCCTTTTGTTGATATTGGGATATGTCACCGATACGGTTACTGTTTAGTGTTAAGTGCAACTAATTGTGCAATTTTGAAAGATAATTGTTCAAATGACATTCCTAACTATAGTGCCTCAAAACAATTTAGGGGAAAGAAGGAAAAAATATCTTGCAGTTCTTTATCTTCTGTTGGTTAAAGCTTCACTCTCTGGATCAGAAACATGCTCACACTTAGATGTTGCATTTACATGGAGAAAAATAGACCTGCAACATCTCTTTATAAATATTAAAGGTTTTTTACTTATTTTGAATTAAATATGACTTTTTTATTGAGGGGATATTGGTTTATAACACTGTATATGATTTAGGGGAATAGAGTCACTCCTCTTCAGATGTATGTCCCCAAACCCCCCACCACCAGTGCACCCATTATCCTTTACCCTAGACCATTGGGTCTCCTACCCTCTTTGTTCCTACTCTTGCCTTCTCCCAAGTAGCCTCAGTCTGCAGTCTATGTTCTAGGGTTTGTTTTAGTAGTTCCTTTGTTTTATTTCTCTGTATTCCATGTATGAGTGAAATCATCCAGTATTTCTTGTTCCTTCTGATTTATTTCACTTAACCTTGTCCCTTCCACTTCCATCCATGTTGTCACAAATGGCAAGAATTCGTCCTTTTTATAGCTGAGTCTTATTCCACCACAATTACGTACCAGAATTATTTATAATAACCAAGTTATGGAAACAACATAACTGCCCAGTGACAGGAGTACAATAAGACCATGTTAAAGTTTTGGTTTCATTTTAAATAGTTGTCCTTAATTGTCAGGCTAGACATCCTTTCCCTGTATTAACAGTATAGTATTTTTGTATTAGACCCTGCCAGCCCCAGAAGCTACCAATTCAGAAAAGAAATGAGATTATTCAATTTTACCTCACTTTGGTACAGTGGAAGAAACTCCCCTATGGAAACTTAAAGGTTTAGCTTTTGACTACTGTTGTCGACACACAAGTTCAAAATGCTTTGCAGTTTTGCCCTGTCCACAACAGCTTGACTGACAGGATGATTGAGTGTTATTCCTAAGGGAGTGAATTAGGACTTGCATTGTTTAAGAATCCTATCACCCCTCCTAGGGAAACACAAATAAAACAGCAGAAGTATGTCTAGGTGGAAAGAATAACCTGGTGAGAAGTACTGAGTCATTCCTCAAGTTTTTTGTTTTCGCATCCCGTCACTTGGCACTCTGGACAGTGTATCTCCAACATTTGGAATCATTTTAGGAATGATGTAGGAAAAAAGATCAGTTCCCAAAGCAAGAATTCAATCTAAGATGTTGCATCAAACCATATTGCTAGCATTTAGTCTGTCTTCAACCTACTCAGGGTGATGGAATGAACTTTTATTAACCACTCATCAGAAAGCATGAAACTTTATTTTCATGCTTGGAATAAGGTTATTATTCAAATTGATTCTGATATATTATTGCAGATTCTGGGTATCAGTGGATTTCATGTTTGTTTTTTTTTTTTTTTTGAACAATTTTGAAACACTTGGTTTTCAACAGTATTCTGTGTTTTAACACCATATTCAATTGGCCATTTTAAATATTAAGATCAAATCATGCAATTTCTCTGTGATTAGTAATTGTTTGGCTTGGGGTGAGACTTAACCATTTATCTATGTTTTGGGAAAAGGGAGAGAGGTTGGCAAAGCTATAGATAAAAATTCTGCATGTGTTATAGGAGCATTGGGGAATGAAGTGTGGCCCCATGCACAGATGGTCCTTGAGCAGAACAGTATTCAACTGCATCTGTGCACAGAGGACCTTTATTGTCCTGATGTGGACTTGACTTGGCTTAGTAATCTGATGCTGACTTGAGAAATGAGCTCCTAACTCTAGTCCTATTTCCTCCCTTGCCATTCTTCTTTCATCTTGAGAAAAGCCTGCGGACCTCTCTATGTCACACTTATTTTAACCTCAGTAGAGTGGTAGAACCTCATTTCACTAAGTAATGAATGATTGCAAAGGACTTGGAAATTTCAAAGGATTGAAAAATTGTCAAGTGAATATTTTTTAGCTTTTTCACCAGATTTTTTTTTTTTTTTTTTTTTTTTTTTTTTTTTTTAGTCACTGATGGAAAACTTATCTTCTCTGCCTTAAAACAATCTTTTGTTCTATGGTGAATTCTTGAGGAATTTGGCATTGAACCCGTGAAGAAAAATACTTAAAAATATGAAAGAAATCAGTCTCCCCTGCATTTTAGGTGAACTGCTTTATATTTCCTACATCATAACACATTAAAATAAGAGAGGAAGGAGAAAGTATGAGGAAAGAAAGAAAAGGAAAAAAAGAAAGGAATGGAGTGAAGAAAAGGATGAAAAAGGAAGGAGACAAAATCAGAACCTGAAAGTCTTGGGAAATGATTATGTTTGTATTCCCTTAATGTGCTGAGCAGTGAATTTGCATGCTACAGTAGAGCATAATGTGTCTCCTGTACCATCTGAGCTGAGTTCCTTGAAAAATATTGTTATAAGCAAGTCTTTATAAGGCAGAAATGCTCCCTTCTCACTGGAAATCCTCTTAAAGACACAGTGGAATCTTTGTGCTGTTTTACGAAAGCTAATATCTGCTTGCTGCTTTGTAATTCTTGGCATTTTTTGCTATGTGTTATCTTCATCCTTGTGAGGTGGGAGGTGTATTTTATCTAATATTCAGATAAGGTACATCAGCTTGAAAGTCCCCCAGAAGTAGGTCCTAGAAGCCATTTTTCAGTCTCAGGTAAGGAGTGACAGTGTTGCTGTAGCACCTCCTTCCTAGCTTATGTCATCTTCACCTCCATTAAAGAGACAAGTATTTGCCCATAGAATTTATTTTTTTTTTTTTTATACATTTTATTGTTATATTCCCCATACAATTGCAGCCCCCCCATTCTGACCCCAATCCCTCCCCCCCGCCCCCCCCTAAAAGTGTCTCTGGTTCATAGTTTTTTGTTGATTTTGATTTTCACTTTCTTATAGTTATTCATTTTCCTGGTCCCTTATTTAAGTTTTCTAGATCCTGCTATGAGTGAGACCATCCGGTATTTTTCTTTTTCTTTTTGGCTTATTTCGCTGAGCATGATCCCTTCCAGCGCCATCCATGTTGCTGCAAATTGCATGTGTTTATCTTTTTTGAATGCTGAGTAATATTCCATGGTATATATGTACCACATCTTCTTGATCCAGGCATCTATTTTTGGGCATTTGGGTTGTTTCCAAAGCTTAGCTATTGTAAACAGTGCTGCTATAAACATAGGGGTGCAGGTGTTCTTTGGAATTGATGTTTCTGTGTCCTTTGGGTAAATACCTAGGAGTGGAATTGCTGGATCATATGGAAGCTCTATGTTTAGTAGGTCCAGAAATCTCCACACAGCTCTCCACAGTGGTTGGACCAGTTTGCACTCCCACCAACAGTGCAGAAGAGTTCCTTTTTCTCCACACCCTCGCCAACATTTGTTGTTGCTAGTTTTTTTAATATGTGCCATTCTCACTGGTGTAAGATGGTATCTCATGGTAGTTTTGATTTGCATTTCCCTGATGGCAAGTGATGTTGAACATTTTTTCATATGCCTGTTTGGCCATTTGCATTTCCTCTTCAGAGAAGTTTCTTTTTAGCTCTTCTGCCCATTTTTTGACTGGATTATTTTCTTTGTTGTTGCTGAGTCTCATCAGCTCTTTGCAGATTTTGTGATCAGTCCTTTATCATTAGTGTTGGGTGCAAAAATGTTCTCCCAGTTGGTGGGGTTTCTCTTTGTTTTTGTTATTGTCTCTTTTGCTGTGCAGAAGCTCTTTAATTTGATGTAGTCCCAGCTGTTTATCTTTGCCTTCACTATCACTGCTTTGGGTGATGTGTCTGTAAAGATGTCTTTGATGTGCAGATCACGTAGTGTTTCGCCTATATTTCCTTCTATATATTTTATGGTTTCAGGTCTTATGTCTAGTTCTTTAATCCATTTTGAGTTGATTTTTGTGTATGGTGTGAGGTAGTGGTCAAGCTTCATTCTTTTGCATGTAGCGACCCAGTTTTCCAGCACCATTTATTGAACAAACTTTCTTTGCTCCAATGCATAGTCTTTGCTCCTTTGTCAAAGATTAGTTGACCATAAATCTGTGGATTTATTTCTGGATTTTCTATTCGATTCCATTGGTCTGTATGTCTGTTCTTGTTCCAATACCATGCAGTTTTGATGATTATGGCTTTGTAGTATAGTTTGAAGTCTGGGAGTGTAATGCCTCCATTCCCTTTTTTTTTTCAGGAGAGCTTTGGCTATTCGGGGTTTTTTGTGATTCCATATGAATTTCATCAATAATTGTTCTATTTCTTTGAAGAATGACATTGAAATTTTGATTGGAATAGCATTGAATCTGTATATTGCTTTTGGAAGGATGGCCATTTTAATAATGTTTATTCTTCCAATCCACGAGCAGGGGATGTCTCTCCATTTCTTTGTGTCTTCTTCTATTTCTTTTAACAGTGTTTTATAGTTTTCTTTGTATAGGTCCTTTATCTCTTTTATTAGATTTATTCCCAAATATTTGATTTTTTTTGTTTCAATAACAAAAGGATGGTTTTTTTGATTTCTTCTTCTTCAGATTTATTGTTTGTGTATAGGAAGGCTACTGACTTTTGCGTGTTGATTTTGTATCCTGCCACTTTACTGAACTGATTGATGAGTTGAATTAGCTTTTCTGTGGAGTTTTTGGGGTTCTCTATGTATAATATCATATCGTCTGCAAATAGTGATAGTTTGACTTCTTCTTTTCCTATTTGGATTCCTTGGATGTCTTTCTCTTGTCTTATTGCCCTGGCTAGGACTTCCAGTATTATATTGAAAAGCAGTGGTGAGAGTGGACATTCTTGTCT